ATGTGCTTACCCCAATGGATAAATGAATTCTTTTAAATTTTAATTTGAGGTGAACGGAGGTAATTCCGTTGAAAGATGAGTGCACTCAGTATTTGTACTGCAACTTCAGGACTATAGCCTTCCACTGGGGTGATGGATTACTTATGAGCAGAAAAAGTTAAAACTCGTGAGAATGATCAAAAGTTTTGATTTCCTAATTTTTGTAGTAAGTCTAAATTTAGGTAAGGTCGCTTTTCTCTCTAAATTCTTTTGTCCCTATAATCAGATCAGAGCGTGCACAGTAAATTAACGAAAACATATTTTTGGCTATTGAAAGTACATTTCATTACATTTCCTTGCAGCTGGAGTGACTTGACACTATTAAAGAAAAGATGTACAAGATTTTAGATCGTTTGCCCAAATTAGCAAAAAAAGACGAAAACTATATCGCTTAAGAGTTGTAGGAATAACAGCCTGGGCAAGCAGAACCACACAGCGAATTTGATGTTTGAAAGCGAAGATTCTTGATTCCCGCTTGCATTAAGCCAAAATTTTTAATCTACTCAACGCTAACATTACAGTTTTCTGTGCCATAAAAAGATTTACGGCCAAAGCATAAGAATGATTTCCAAACTTGACAGTTTTTCATCCTTACTCGGCTTTTACTCACGGCTTCAATCAACAAAAAGGATCTCACCTGAATAAGGAGAATACGAAATGGGGATAATACGTGTAACGGATAAAAATCTTCAGTTCAAAATGGAAAAAATCTGTTGATGAGAAAAAGGGCAAAAACGATTCATCATTGGGACATGAACTTTACGAAAATTTCTTAAAGCATTGAGTTATGTATGTACTACAATAAAGATGTCTAAATGACCACATCCTACATCTCTCAAAACTTCATGATATTGCAATAGAAATTCTTTGATGTGTAGCAATGGTTGGAGGAAGTTCTATAAATGAATGTTGGAAGTAAAAACAACAAAAAGAAATCGAGCTTGATAATCAACCATACAAATAATGACTTTCAGCACACCACAAAG